CAGCGAGGGTTAAGAAGTGGGATGACCGTAGTGAGTCTGTTCGGAACGTTGCCACAGGTAGGTTACTCGTTACTACTACCATCAACATAGGTTGCAATACGCATAGCGCTCGACCGAGCTAGATACATGCAAGACCCTCTAGGGCACTGTCACAATTGGTACGGCAGCGTGCTTCGGAACGAACAGGTGTCCGGCACATGCACATACCAACCTGTTGCCCATGCGTGTTCTTTCTTTATGGGCAGCTCCGAACCAGGACAACATGTATTCGAGGGAGAAGATTGCAGTGGAGCCTAGTTTGTTTGATGAATGCAAAAACACGTGTTATTTTTGTCCTCCAAGGTCGTGCCTGTATTGCCCCCGCCCCCCCTCATTTGGTCAAGCACCCTCGAGGCAGTTACACAGTTTTCTCGCGGCGTCGTATGTGCCGGGTTTTGAGACCACGGGCTCCCCATTTTTTGTGGACTATAGAGCTAATGTGAGAAACAACAACAGTGCCTACAACTGTCTCTGGAAGTGAAAGCACCAGAAAATACATGAAGTCATACGCAGCTGTCATCCGTATGCAAGGAAGTAAGCACAAGATGCCGAACACCCTTAGCAGGATGCAGCGCACCCTTCATGCGACTCGCTGAATACCTCACGACGCTTCGCGCTTGGTGATGTGAGAGCCTGGTCCGGTGAGAACCCGGCGTGCTCCGTCCCGGCTTTGTAGGGATGCGAGGTCAATGGTCTAACGACTACGGCATGCACGACTTTGAGTATGAGTACACCCCTCCGGTGTTTGCCTATCGGGATTGGGTTTTCGTCGCTTGGCAACGACGTTGTCAAACAAGCCAATTCACTTCGTGAACTCGGCAACCAGGTTACCGTTTTTTTTTTTTTCCTCCGTTTATTTTTTTTGGGCGGTAACCATAATGATGGTTGAGTAGATCATGTTGTGCGGGGTGAACCCTCACTCCGCGCAAGGGGGATGATCGCACCACGTTGTGTTAAAATGGTCAAGCACCCTCGAGGCAGTTACACAGTGCTTACAACTGTCTCTGGAAGTGAAAGCACCAGAAAATAAATTAATTCATACGCAGCTGTCATCCGTACGCAAGGAAGTAAGCACAAGATGCCGAACACCCTTAGCAGGATGCAGCGCACCCTTCATGCGACTCGCCGAATATCTCACGGCGCTTCGCGCTTGGTGATGTGAGAGCCTGGTCCGGTGAGAACCCGGCGTGCTCCGTCCCGGCTTTGTAGGGATGCGAGGTCAATGGTCTAACGACTACGGCATGCACGACTGAGTACCCCCCCCCGCCGCGGTTTGAAAAGGCGGGAAGGGATATTGTGAGGATAGCCTTCTAACCACGAAGGAACCTACCAACGTCCCGCCGAACTTGCTCGCCGAACTTGCTAAGTAGAGCTTCCTTGTGTGTGCATACATGGGAGGCAGGTTCGGGTTTTCCTACAGCTCCCTATCCAGCTTGAAGTAAAGTCTTATATATCTCATCCTCGATGGCACAAAATTTTTTGTTGGTTCTGGCTTCAACAATGTGAACATTTGAATCGCGAGAGTTCTGGCCCTGCGGGGAACATGCTCTAAATTCTTTGTTTGTTTTTTCCTGTTAAGTGTGCGTTCTGGCCGTGCTCCTACAACACACCTCAAATCTGAAGTGACGATTTTTTTCCACTTCAAAGCGTGTAACTTCTGGCATGGAGCAATAAAAGATTATTCATGCCGCATTTTTTTTTTTTTTGCTTTTTGTGGGTGTGGCGACTGGGGCAGGTGACGCCCATGTTCTTGGTATGGCTATTGCCGCGAAACAAGAAGGAGCAGCAGGAGCTGCAGAAGTCGTCCGCGAACAACCGGCTAGGGGGACAGATCTTCCTCATGGTGGCGGGGCTCTCCATCCTTTTCACGATCGTTGAGGCAGTGGTGGAGTTGATAGAAGCCTGATGTTGATGGTGGTTGTTATCACGATTGTGAACTGATATTTTCTTGTTGCGTGCGTGCTGCTTTAGAGCAGCAGCACTCATGTTGCACTTGGATGTGAATGGATATCAATCGCTCGGGGAACGGCTGGCACCGGCCGTGATGATAGTGGGGGGGTGTTTTTTGTAGTAGTTGTGAGCGTCGTTCG